TAAATACATAAACAATGAATTAATGAATATATAAATGAATCCATTAATAGATAAGCAGATAAAAAACACCATGGAATAAATCAATCTAAAAAAAATAAATAAATAAATAAATAAACAAATAAATGAATGAATAAGTTAATAAAGAAAATCATGGAATAAATCAATCTAAAAAATAATAATAATAAAAATAAAATAATTAAATAAATAAATAAGTCAATAAAGAAAATCAGCCTTAGAACGTCGTCCTTAACCCCCACCTGTTTAACAGATGTGGAGTCTGCTGGCCACGTCGATGGTCCTCCTGATCACCGGCCTTTTCCTCGTGCAATCCATCCACACCAGAGCCACAAGAGGACGCCGGTGAGGGGAATTGCACGCAGTCAGAAATGCCATCTAGTGTCCGCAACTCTTACTCAGCTCTTGCAGTTTGAGTAAATTTTTTGCGTAACTTATTGTCATGTATGACTGTAGAAGAGTAGAACATATGCCATTTTAAAACTAATACTCTTTCCATCAAGGAATGTGGAACCGATCGGTAATTCTGGCACTGTCTGGCAATCTTGCCAATGGATTCTTGGATCTGCACTTGCACAGTGTGAGTATGCAATGATGATGATAATAATAATAATAATGATAATAATAATAATAATAATAATAATAATAATAATAATTATAATAATATTAATAATGATAATAATAATAATAATAATAATAATAATAATAATAATAATAATGATAATGACAATGATAATGATAATGATAATGATAATGATAATGATAATGATAATAATGATAATAATAATAATGATAATAATAATAATAATAATGTAGTGATAACAATAATGATAATAATAATAGCTATAATAGTAATGGTACTATTAATAAAGGTAAGTAAAATTAAAATGATGATAATAATAACAATAAGAACAATAATAAGCATAATAACAATAAGAACAATATTAAGCATAATAACAATAAGAACAATAATAAGCATAATAACAATAAGAACAATAATAAGCATAATAACAATAAGAACAATAATAAGCATAATAACAAAAGCAATAATAATGATAATATTAATGATAATGATAATAGTAATAATGATGTTGATGATGATGATTATCATCATCATCATAATGATGATGATAATAATAATAATAATAATGATAATAACAATAGAAATAGCAATATCTATAATAGTAGTAACAATAATAATGATTATAATAAGAACAAAAATTATAATAGTTTTAATGATAATGATAATGGAACATTTATACCATTATAATGTAGTGCAACATATTACAGAAACCGCTGAGAATGAATATACCAAATGTCACGGCTGCAATGTAGAGATCATCTGAAGATTCCTTCATCTACCTACCAGAGATAAAGCCATTGTCTTGTCCTTCTCAGCAATGGTGCTGGTTCCCAGCGGCACGTCGGTGCGCGTCCTGTGGGGTATGTGGCTTCTGGCGGCGCTCATCGTCGGCTCAGTCTACCGCTCCAACCTGAAGGCCATGCTGATCCTGCCGAAGCTGCGCTTGCCCTTTGACAACCTGCACGAGCTCACACAGACGGACATTCCCTGCTTTGTTCCTGCTGGGAGCGCCCTTTTGCATATCATTCTGGTGCAGACGAGCCTCTGCTCTGTTCTCTTCTTGATAGCTTTAATAAGTTTGCCTAATTATTCCCAATGATGACTCACTCTATTCACAACAAGCATATCGGTATTTGAATGGGATTTGTTCTTTCTTACCAGAGTGCTCCACCCGGATCGCAACTGCACAAATTGCACAAGCAACTTCGTGTCTCAAATAACGTTGAGAGGGTGGTACAGGGTATCATGGACGGACAGTTCGCCGTCTTCAGCAGTGAACATATACTAAACTTTGTCATTCATCTGACTTTCTCGCGTGTGAGTTTCTGTTGTAAGTCATTCATATTGAAGTGTTTCTTCTTGAAGAATCATTCAAATTTGCATATTAACATGGCTAATGACAAACTTTCCTTTTAGACACAATCCTGCCCTCTGTACTATGCTTCTGAAACCTTCTTCGGCGCAACGAGCCTCAGCCTCGCTTTCCCCAAGGGCTCTCCTCTGAAGAAGAAGATTGACCCCATGTACGCTTATCACTGCTTATTTCACATTTTACCATTATAATCTTACTTTGGTCTATCAAGAAGTTGAAGCTATATAATTGACGACCTAATCATTATCACATTATCTACTTATGTATGTATTTTATTGCTAATGAATGACAGCGCACTTAATCACATTTAAATACAAATATGTCATTATTCATCAAAATATGACTTCCACAGCCTCTATAACTTGCAAGAGTTTGGCATCTTGAACAAGCTCTATGAGGACGGCGTGCAAAACCTAAGGGAGTGCCTCAAACAGGCGTCGTCCAATTCACTGCGGTCATTTGACCTTATCGACTTCTATGGCATTTTCTGTGTCTATTTGGGAGGTGAGTCTTGCACGTGGGATGAATAA